CACTTATTACTGTGCACGTTGCAAAGGAAATCAATATAATTATTTTTGAATTAAATTACAAAGGCGAAAGCTGTGATAAATCATCAGAATTAGATACCGAATTCTGCGAGTCATAACATACATTACATGGACGAGTAGGAGCAAATTTCCTCCACGAATCCTTCCTTCTTCATTCGATGTAGTCGTGCAATGCATGACTACTTTTGTAACATCTTCAAACCTAATTTCTCCCTTCACAATTACAGCACACGGATAGTTGTGTTATTCCTATACCAACCCATAAAACCAATTACTTCCAGCATAATAATAGATTTCCAGGTCTTGGAACTCTTTACCATCGCATTTAGTAAATGCCAATTCCAAAAAAAAAAAAAAAAAAATGTTTTTATAAACAGCTTAAAAAATACTTCATTAAAAGTTTAAATTAAAAGCTATTCTTAAAAAAATCTAATTTGGGAGTGACACCCTCTCAAACCCTTCCCCCAGCTCGGGCCTACGAGCCCAAGTCCCCCTGTCGGACAGCTCAGCCCCCCATCCTCCAGAAAATATATCCTAGAGCCGCCACTGGTAGTTAGTCGGTCTAATGAATTCTGATTTGTTTTAATTGTGTCTTGTTTTCTGTTGATTTGTGTCATATTTTGTCCTGTCCTGTTCCTGTTTTTCTTTTTTTTTTCTTTTTTTTTAAATTTCTCAGGCTGTCCCTACACAAGATTTCTTTTCTTATCTTCTCGGGCCTTTGCCACCTTCCTTTTATGCATATCGTTACTATTATATTAATTACCTTATCATTGTCAGTTATTTTTATTTTTTTTTTTGCAAAAAGGAAGTTAATAAATATTACGTTGAATTAAATTGAACTGATGATGTAACGTATCCAGAAGTGTACAGTGGCGTAACGAAGAGGTCAGATGCATTGAGTAGTTTTTTTCGGGCCATTGATGATAGTCCGTTTATTTTAATTTTTTTTTTTTAATTTCTTTTTGTTGTTTTTTTTGTTTTAATTGTAAACGTTTTGCTAATTGAAAACCCCTCTCGGCCAATATGGGACCCATTCTGCAAAAAAAGTGCCTTACTAAGGTCCAGTCTCATGGTTGAGAGTCATTACGCCATTTAAGGGATGACGACTGCAGGGGCTTTTTTTGGGAGGGTGCAAAAATAGCGCGCACTATAATCGTCATTATCACCATCATCGTCTTCTATTGTCAGCGTCATAATCATGTGTACCACCACCACCACCATCATAACCGTTATCTTAATTACATAATCATCATCATCATTACCAACAACATCATCAACATCATCATCATCATCATCATCATCATCATCATCATCATCTTCATCATCATCATCGTTATTGTTGCTGTTGTTATTATGAATAGCTTGGTGGAAGATGCTTGCCTTCCAATCCCAGGGCCCCGGGTTCAAATCCTGTCACGGCAACAGGATTTTTTCTCACGACTAACTCTAGTCCCTAAGCCGCATAATGAGACTTAAGGCTTTGTAGAGCATCTTGTTTATGTGATTTGTCTTGTGAAAGGATTGCCACTTAGTAAAGCGAAGTTCGATGTTGGCATATCTTTGTCTATGAGACTAAACATTAAATAAATAAATAAACTATTGGATATATCTTATTGAGCCTAATAATAGGCCTACTATTTAAAGCATATATCCAAATAATTTAAATCACAAATGATGATCCACAGCCAGTTACACAACCATCATATTAAAATGATAACTTAAAACTTAATCAGGTGACCATGGTCCGCATGACGGGAAATTTTTCGGTGGTTGTGGAATTTCGTCATCTTCACCAACTTGGATGACCATTGTCATTCCCAACTGATGTAATAAAACAAAATAATTAAATTCTATTAAACATGTGCAATATTAAGCATGCAATTAGTATAGTTGTATTTCATATATTATATGAGTCCAAACATAACATAAAATAACATAAGAATATGAAATGACATAAAGTGATAAGATAGGATATGATTAATATATGATAAATATTTTTACAAATTTTAAATTGCTACATTTTAACCAGTTATCGTTAGGCCATTTAATTTTTAGCACACCACTGGATACGGACTGTGGCTCCTCTTTTCTGAAGAGTGTGCTGCGGCGTTCATTAACGTTCACACGAGTCATTTTAGGTATTCAGACTTTAAACTATGAAAATTCATAAAGTTGCTAGGAGAAAATTCCTATGAATATTATTACTATATAATCTTCCCATATTTGTTTAAAAACGGCATTATTCTTATGTAATATCATCTCTAATTAGTAAGCGGTTCGATTTAAATTCTTTTTTTTAAAAATAATTTTAATAGATTTATATAAGTATATCTTTGAAGTTTATTGTAAATCAGGAATTAGTTTAGTTCTCACCAGCGCGTGGAATTCATTGTGACAATGGAAGAACCAGTAACCCGGATTTTCTGCCTTCCATCTGATGATGGCGTAGCCACCCGTGGGAATGTTTAATGTATCCTTTACAACTGATGAATTTAGAGCAATTCTCGGAATACCAACTGAAAAATAAAGTAAATACAAATATCAATATGGCTCACAATATTATATACAACTTATATTCAGGTTAGCGTTAGTTAAGGCCTGTTTATACTTGCAACGATAACGATAAAAATCTATAAAAAAAAAAAACTGTTCATAGAAAATAAAAGAAATAAAAGAAGTTTTTACATTAGGACGATTCGACAGTAGTAGTAGTAACAACGATTTTATCGTTTTTTCATGATTATGACGTTATTTGAATTGATTTGTCAAAATATTTTGTGTATCGTTATCGAATCGTCCTAGTGTAAAAACTCTTTTTTTTTTTTTAATTTTCTATATGAACAATTACTTTTTAGCTTTTTATCGTTATCGTTACGATTACCGTTGCAAGCAAAATTCTTTAGTGTGTTGAGGGGAGGGGTGGTTGAATGTGCGATGTTGTGTAGGGTGGTGTTCATGGGCGTGTGCGTTTGGGAGTGTGGTGACATCGATCCAGTACATGTTTCTTTGATTCTGAAGAAGATAATAATAAGAAGTTCTCAAAATTAATACGTACAATATGTCACAATTTACCAACTTAGTTTCGTCGAATTTGGTGTGCGCATACGTAATTATTATAACTTTTTTAACTTAACGCATGCTTTATGCGAACATTTTTGTGGACACTTTTTGGGCATGATGGTGTCACATCACATCCATTTTATATTGGCATGATAATTCAGATCATCACCATAACGTGCAAATTACAAATATAATTTGTCAAATATTATTTGATAATGTGGATATTATTACTCTGAGTTAAGGACGTATAAAATACTTTCATCCAGCCTCTTTAAGCTATGTCTTGAATCTTAATTTGTTATATTGTATTGGTGTTTTTTTTTAAATATTGCCTTTTAATAATTTTAATGTACTGTATATTTCAATAACTCTGTAAATGCAATTCTTTCAGCCTTTGCTGCTTATTGTATATTTATGTTTTATACCGAAATAAATAAATAAATAAATAAAATATGTTTCAATCTGAAAACACCCTAATGGTAACGGCTACACTAAAGGCATTAGTGAGCAAACGTGGCAGATGAATCAAAGTTTTGGATAGGAAAAATCTTATTGTTTTTTTCTTTAAATACTTGTTGTTTTAGTTGTTAACACTTTAATTGATTTGATATGCTTTCGTGTTGTGTCTAAATCCTCATAGCCGTCGGAAGCATTTTGCAAGTGGTCCGGCCATTATAGTGAGGGGTGGTGCAGGGGGAGGGGGTAGTATGAGCACTTGACAAATTTGGTAGTAAATGAAGAGTGGAGACATCTCTATCCACAGCTACAGAATTTTGAAGTTAGTTGAGGTCTAAGAGAAGGGGCAGCCACAATACATAAAGTTAGCATGGATGAGAGTCTATGTTGGAAATATGGCACCTCTGGATGCCACGAAATAGCAGCTGGTAAAGCTGCAGAAAATAATATTGTTAAAAATTTAATTTCTTACCATTGCCATAAGTAGATAAATTGAGTTGCTTATTCCTCCAGAAGAACAAGAAACGTGAATAGATATATAATGCATAAACAAAAAATGACTATAACATACTGCAATTGTATTTACACGATTTGGAGGGTATTCAGCTATGAAATATATACAATATGCAATAAATAAAACACAGGATACTATTTGCCACACAAATGGACCTGCAGCCTACAAGTTATGAACATAGGCCTACTACTCGTACAATTTTAATTAAATTGTCTTGCAAAGTTCAGCCTGGAACATTAATAAGTTATTGATCACGCTCAAGAAGTTATATACTATCACTAGAATTGTAAAAAAAAGTTAAGCTCTGTGTTTGCTTCTGGTAGGCTTATACCGATTACACAATAATTTTAGTCAACCGTTGGTATATTCATGTATACTTCCATGGAGAGGTCTACCCTGGTAATAAATAAATAACAGAGTACCGTACTAGCATTAGGGTGATCCAGTTAGCGAGCGGAGAGGGGCACAATGCCGCTGAATCATTTTTGAAATTAACTTGCCCATTTTTAAGTAACATATAAATTATCAACTTGAACATAAACATTAGTGTATTTAAAAAAAAGTTTACCCGTCATTTTACAAAGAAAAATGATAGAAACACTTCCAGTCAATGGAAGTGTTTTATTATTTTTATTACAATTATCCAGTTTAAAAATCAGAGTACACATTTTTGAAATTCAATAATTTCTTTGCTCAAGTTAAAAATATGTATGCTACTACAAAAATGACCAAGTTAATTTCAAAATTATTTTTTGTCATTTTCAAGAGACAATACATTTTAAACCTTGTTTACCTTGATGCCCAGAAAAAATGTGAATTAATGATGATCATAATTATGATGATAAAAATGTTTGGGTTTAATCTATTTATCTTTGCTTTTCATTGCACTGTAATGGCTAATTTTGTTGAGTACCACACCCCTTTACAAACCTGGACATCCTCAACCATCTTTCGTCTGACGCCACGACGAGATCGTGAGACTAAACTAATCTTTAAATCCAATCAAGTTGCAGTCGCCATTCCCTAATATTGTGGTCTAAAAGCATAAATTGTGGATGCCCAAAAATCTCATCTGGCAATCCCCCCGCCCCCTCCAGGGGTAAAGTTGGTGTATAAATTCATACCTGTAAATTTTGAAAATGTGCTGCAAAGCAACTAGGCTACCCCTATTCCAACCCCATGCAGGAACAGATACAATATTGGAAGTTAGTGGAAGTGGGCTAGATACTGTACCCTCTATCTCAGGTCCATCGTACCATGACTGAAAAAGTCAATGCGATGCGTACATTCATATAATTCATAATTATCATTATATATTTATTTCAGAAAGTAATGGAATTGAGAAAAAGTGGTCCGGCCATAGCCGGTGCGCTTCCGACGGCCCTGATGCTTTGATGAGTGTTTAAGATGATTTTGTATCTCGCTATGCAAATTTCAATTGATAAAATAGAATAATACTTAGTAAAACAACATTGTACTTACCATTCTTGTCAAATTCAATTATATCATCAGCGGTCATTGACATGTTGTCCATTTTCCCCTGAGCAAGAACTCTGAACGACTGTCCGTGTAAATGCATAGGATGTTCGGAAATTTTGAAGCTGTCGATCACAACAAGCTCCACCACCTTTGAGATTATGTAATTGAAAACCATAATTATGTAATATATTTAATATTTAAAGTTAATCCACCTATGTATGTATATAAC